TTTCTGCTGTAATCTTTGTTATGTTCTTTCTTCTACCTTTGAGCTTGAATTCTTCTTTTTTCTTACTTGAGATGTAAAGTCGGGTTGTTTATTAGAACTCTTTCTTTTTTCTTTGATGTAGGTGTTTATCACTATGAATTAACTCCCAGAACTGCTTTTGCTGCATCACATAAGTTTTGGTATGTTGTTTTTCCATTTTCATTTATCTCAAGTTATTTTAAATTTCTGTTTTGATTTTTACTTTGAACCATCGTTTGTTTAAGCATGTTATTTAACCTCCACATATTTATAAATTTGTCAGTTTTCTTCTTGTAACTGATTTCTAGTTTGATTCCATTATGGTCAGAAAAGATGCTTGCTATCTCAATTTTCTTAAGTTTATTAAGCCTTGCTTTATGGCTTAACATATGATCTAACCTGGAAAATGTTTCATGTGTGCTTCAGGAAAATATGTTTTCTGCTGCTGTTGAATAGAATGTTCTATAAATGAGCATTAAGTTCATCTGGTTTAATGTAGTATAAATCCAATGTTTCCTTTTGATTTTCTGTATGAATAATCTATCCATTATAGAAAGAGGAGTATTAGTCCCTACTATACTTATATTGCTGTCTATTTCTCCCTTCAGGTCTGTTAATATTTGCTTTATAGATTTATATGCTTCTGTGTTGAATGCATACATTTTTACAAATGTTATAGCATCTTGTTGGATTGACCCATTTATCATTTTATAATTATTGTTCCTTTTTTGATTAACCTTTTACAGCTATGATGGCTTTGAATAACAAAATAAAATCTATAAAAATTCTGAATAGTAAAATCAAATTCAATGTATGAGAGAATTTATATAGCTTAAATAAATATCACTTTTCTACTCTAATATAAGAATCTTTATTATAAAACATATTTTATGTAATCATATGAATTATATTCAACTCAATATAAGTGAGATATTTTAGTTTTAACTTTAAATTTAATTTATGCTTTAAATATAATATGCTTAGTACTGAGTCTATCAATTATAACTATAATACACTCATTAAATATATACAACAAATATACCGGAAAACACTGTAACAGGTAATAGACTTGGAAGTTTGTTGAAAGTTGTGTAAGAAAATACAATTAAACAAAGCTATGGCTTCAGCACTTAAAAAGACCCTTGCATATTTTTAAAAGCATACATTATACCACTAAAAACTAGCTCTTGATCACAAATATAAACCAGTGGATTATCTCCTCAAATATTTTTGAAAGTTCTTTTCATTTATATGCACATATATTTCTGGTTTGTATCTTGCTGCATTTCTTCTAAAATGACCAGAATACTGCTTCAAATTTATATTATCTGTTATATTTAGCCTTATTTAAATCTCTATACTCTGAAGTGAGAAGTTGAAGTTAGCATCTCATTTTTTAGTTTTACTATATATAAATATTAATTCTTATTATTAAAAACATTCATAACTGAGCATACTGTCTATGTTAGCACATTTATAATCTAATAACTAAGATATATATCTCAGCAAGATTTTTCACAGTTCTTTTATTTGATTGATGAATAGATTTTTATAAATTTAAATATTTGTGTAGGTAGAATGTCAGCATATTTATAAGCAAATTTTAATCACCACAGTTGTTTTGTGATTCTAAAGTGAATTTAAGATCCAAATGGAAAGAAAGAGAGAGAGGAAGATTGAAAAAACTGAAGAATTCATATGTAAATCTGTTTATCTGCTTTCTCTATTAATATATATATATTTGAAATTGTCCCCTATATTTTCAACATGGTAATTTTATACTGTTGTTAGATAAAGTGAAAACATAATTTAGTAAAGTCGCCTATGATAAGATGATATATTGATACTTATGTACATTTTCAATAAGTTTATATTGAAATTTATGTAATAAAAATGAACTTGGATAATGAAATCTAAAAATTATATCATGTTTATCTTAAAATATTAACCTTGTTGTATGTAGTATGCTATAAAATAACTGCTGTCTCCCTTATTTAGCATCTTTGATTTAGCATGTATTTTTTTTTAGATCCATATATTTAGGTTGTTTTTAAATGCCATGCATCCGGTTACTTTACTGGCTCTATATTTTAATTATAGATACTAAAAAGAGATAAAAACCTTGAGGATTTATTCTCAACCTAGTAAGATAAGGGGATTTTAATTATTGGAAAATGGGTTATTCCATTTTAAATGTCAATAGAGTCTACATTTCTTTTTCATGTGGTGATCATTAGTTTTCTTGCTGAATAATCTAAAGCAGTTTAACGTGTAGCTAATAGCTTAAACTTTCAACATCTAAATCCGACGGGACCAAATAAAATACAAGAAAAACAACAAATCAAATAGCAAGTATTGAAGGACAAAGAGAAGAAAATACCTTGATTTAAGCAATTATCAACAGAAGTAACATTAACTTAAATTTTAAGTTTAACTATAATTTAAAATGTCTTAAAAGCAGAAAAGAGGAAGAAAGCCGATGAATGAACGTTCTTTATAAGAATTACCAACTAACCACATGTAGAAACTAACACAATCTAGTCAACAAATATTCATTGTGTATTCCTTTAAGACAATGACATTTCAATGAGATTGGTTCATAAAATTATTTTTCCATCAATTATTATATGCAGTACTAATGGCATTTATTCTCTTTATTTTAATTTCAAGTAGGTATAAATAAACATTTTGCTGTGCTCACTTTGTTTATAAGATAAATAATTTTGATGGCTAATCTAGATGATCAAGGTACATACGGAACTCTCATGTTTATTCTGTGAGTCAGGTTGCCAGTTCTCTGGGAATAATTCCTGGAAGTCTGTCCGTTTCCCGCTCCAACCATATTAGTTCTCTTCGGAGCTGGAAAAAATGTTTATTTTTGACCTAACTTTCTATAAGACTTAGGTGATTTTCTTCTCAATTTTAGAAAATAATTCTGGTTTTTATCACTTGGGCCATCTAAAATATTGTACAAATGTTGATGGTGACATCAATGAAAGTAATTAAAATTATCCATAGCAAATGCACCGATTTTCACCACCATCTCCGGTGATGTATTTAACTTTGTGTATCCATTTCTATGTATTGGTCTGAGTTGGACAGCCCCACACATGAAGGATAGGTAATATTTTTATATAATATTTCTGTGCTTTCTGGTCTAGGCAGGTATGATTCCAGATGGAACGAGAAATGACCTAGTCACCATCTGCTGCCAGAGCCTTGTCATTCATTATCTCGGGGGTGGAGTGGTCTATGCTCTTTTATGGATTTGTCTACATGACAGCAAACTAACACTTTGAGAATTAATTAACATGAACATATGGAAGTGGGTGTTAGTTTCATAACATACAAACTGGTTCGATTTTTTAAAATGTTTCATCCAAATAGTTCTTCCAGTGCAGATAAAATAGACTACTAAAATCATTTGGCAACTCGGAGGAGAGTAGCCCTTAGTGATTCAAACTCACTAATTATGACAGGAGATAATAATACATCTACATGGAAATCTTTTCCCTTTAGAAATTAAATAAGTAATTCTAAGACAAAAGAAAGAGTTCACCTTGAATTACCCAGATTTACTTTCATAGACCAGCTTTCAGTATTATAGTAACACATTTTTCTCTTGGCAAATAATTTAGTTTAAAGTGTGAAAAATTATTAAAATATATTTTCATGAGCACCTAATTGGATTATGATTATTTATTTAAATTCACCTTTTAAAAAATTCATATTTAATAATATAATTAGAATACAATAGAAAAGGGTTTTTTACTAGGTTTTTAAATTAACAGCAGACAGAAATTATAGGAAGAAAAGATTATTACTATTTTATCTTTTTAAACTTTATATTTTAATTCAATAGTTCTTTGCACATTGCCTATATATGTTAATATATATATTTGTATACTTTACGTATTGATTCATATTATATATTTTTATTCCCAAAGCCAACCTTATTTCTTTTTCTAACAAATCTAGGTTAATAAATACTTTCTAATTTATGAAATGTTCATTAATGTGTTTTTCCCAATAATACATAACACCGGCAATCAATTAAATTGCTTACCTGAAAGTTATTTTACAAATTTAATTTTCTAAAAAAATTTACATTAGAATATATTAGAGAGAACATGAGTACCATAATGAGATAAATTGGATTTGAAAAGGCTACCAATGAAGTGAAAAAGGTACTAAACCACCATAGCTCCCCTAAAATTATTCAAACATCTGTAAAAGTAACTTTAAAACATTTTAGTCAAGAATATACTTTTGAGGTTAGATTATTATAATTTCATCCTATTTTTCCTTTGTCTCTCTAAAATTTGTGATGACTAAAAATGAAATTAAGACTCCCCCCAATGTCATTTTTAGCTAAATTAATAATTTTCTGTGTTTAGTAGAATTGCTTAAAATGTTCAAAATATTATTCGGCATATCATTTAAAGAATTCAAATAAATCTTTAAAGTACTAAGCTTATGAGATTTGCAAATTTAACTTTGTAATTACTGTGGGTCACAAAACACAGTGCTCGTAGGCATTTTCCAACCGAATGAAGCTTAATTTAAGCAATGACAACCGTGTGCAGCAGAATATCAGCAGATTACTTTGGCATCACCAAACCTTGCTTGTGAGAATACATGAGGAATTTGTCACAAAATGTTTGCAAAATCCATATAATTTATTTTATTTTCTGATTTGGAAAATATCTACAGTAATTAAATCTAGTCATTTAAATTTGCTGCTTTGAATAACAAAAAAGAGTTTAATTTTATTTTTGAGATTACTTGTCTTTTTATTTGAATTATGACACTAAAACGATCTCTCAACCTGCTTTTGTCTGTTGATTAGTGTATTACTTTGTATTTATTAAACAGATGATAGAAATAATTACATTTCAACCAGACATTGCTTTATTACTGTTTATTTAACCTTGGAATAAACTCGAGGCAGAAAAAATATAATTTTAAAAGAATGTACTTTTATACTTAGCTGGCGGGGGAGACACCATGATCACAAAGGTGATTTTCCCGGGGCGAGGTGGACCCATTGCACTCTAGACGTGCTGACCCCTGCAATGTCCCCAAATGTGAGGAACTCGACTGCATACTTTGTGGTCGTGGGAGACTGTGTTCAAGATTTCCCCTGGTGGGGCGTACCAAGGACTTTATTTTATGATTTACGTTTTTATTGTTTACAAGAAATACTTTTTCTTTCTCCATATAATTATGCAGTGAAACTTATCTTCAAAACGCTGTAATAAAAATGCTGTTTTCCTATGTATAATCCTGATTTCTAATCTTATAACGTTCCGTTTAAAAAGGGACATCTAATAATATAACGGAAATATTCATATAAAGTTTTTAAATTCATCATGACATAACGGTTTAAACTGGGTTATTGAAAGGAAACAAAGGGATTCAACATTATTCTGAAGACTCTTATTTTACCTTGTTTTATAAAACAAACTGTAAAGAAAGAGTTCTTGATCATATAGTCTCATTATCCATTTCCTCCATAATCAACAATTTGACATTGATATTTTAGTAATGGCTATTCACATAGATAATATGTTTAAAATAACCTTTAAATAAGGTTTCGGATATGAACTCTATAGTTGCTATAAGTGGTCCTGAAAAATATAGTTAGGTTTCACAAGGATTCATATGAGATGTTGATGGATAGTTACCATGAGAACCCCGTGAATAATGCCATCATTCTATCCTGACCCACATCAGGAAAATGCAAGTACACCGCATCTTTCATCAAAGGCTTAGCCCATTTCTCATAGAGCAACATCCCTGACCAAGGCAAGAAGACAAAACATCCTACATAAAAATTTAATTTCTCAGGCTTTTTCCTTTACTCCTTGGAGTCTACAGGCCTAAACTTTCTTAATTGGTGTAAAAGTAATTGTGTGTTTTTCAACTTTGAGAAGGCATAGGGTTAGAGTAGGCTCGTAGTGTAATTGTTTGATAGCTAAAAACTATGTGTAAATTCTTATGTAAAAATAACTGTCAAAACATCATGTTGTCCTCAAGCTCAGAACCTGCAAATTCTAAGAAAAGCATGCAGAACAGTCACATTTTATAAGAGGAAAAAGACAGGAGGACATTGTTTATGTTTGTTGTGATCGTACATGTGTCCTCTCAGTATGTATTCCCCCTGCATTTTATAGAATAGAGTTTGTTTTGATGTCTTCCTCTAGGCAAGAATTACCTTCAGGGATGTTCCCTTTAGAAAACACTGTTACACGATGCATACAATGAACTGGAGAGTTAGCAAATTTTAAAACATTCTTCTCTTTTCTAAATTCCTTCATTGTTTAAATGAGTCCTAACATGTGCCAAGTTGCAATGATGTTCTTCCAATAGATTTATGCAAGGTTCGGTGACTGAAACCAGAATTTATCCACTTAGAGGAACTTTTTTGTTAGGATTTCAACTGTGTTGTTTTGTGTGGGTCCCTTCAGAGCTGTGCTGGGACTGGGGTCAGGAAGACTTCTGCAAAGTCAATATGGGTTAAAGAAATGGACTGAGAGAGGAGAAAAACATCGCAGGTGCAGAGTCAGCAAGACAAAGAATGAGGAGGTCCTTAGTCTTCACATCACCGATGGAAGGGCATGCCAGGGCCAGAGTCTCAGCTGCAGGGGCTGTGGTTTGGTTGCTGTGGAGGGACTCTACATTGCCCTCTGGGTCTCCTTTTTAGATTGGGAAAAAATGGCCTACATGGCTGTTTGGCACCATTTAGTCTGGGGTGCTTGTTATTTACAGGAGTTGCCTGGGAATTCAGCTATAATGCATCTGAGGACCAGGTCCTATGGCGCCTGTGGGGGTCATAGCCCTGCCCAGCTAAGCACTCCTGCCCAACAGTAGTGAGTCACAGCTAGGAAATCTAGTTGGGTCCAGACCACCAGGCAGCTATTTTTAGGTAATTTAGCTCATGACATAATTACTGGTTTTTTTTTTTTTTTTCCTTTCTTATTTGACTATGTAATGCAATGACTACACAGCAAATTGAGACACCCAGAGCCATCTCCTATGACTGCCTCAGTTAACAGATTAGGGTCCATGAGTAGCATCACTGCTGTTTTACATACACTACAACTCCTGTTTCAATCAACTTTTAATTTGATTCTTCTGATATCACCGGTGTTTCAATCCTTTCTTAGATCCTCTGTTTTTAGATTTTTCCTTAAACTCTTCACCTGCTTCTTTGTTTTCCTGGACAGTAGGCCTGTCGACCCTCCACGCACTATGGGTCAACACAGGACATGAGGCCAACCTAAGAGAACAAACCAGGCCCTCATTCTGCCTGGTTCCATTAACTGTGCTTTAGCTACATGGAACCAACCTGCCCTAAATATCCTGCCGGAGACCCACGTAGCCCCAGGCCAGGAACTCCCCAGCCTTCCTAGGATCTCCTCTTCTGCCGAGAAACACCTAAGCGTTATGTCTTCTCCATTTCTCAAATCCCCCCCTATTCCCATAGGTCTTGAGCACTTTTTCCCAAAGACTTTTCATAAAATTAATTAACTTTTCACATGTACTTAATAAAAAAAAAAAAGTGGAAGCAAATCCCAAAGATGAATTATTTGCCCTATGATAGAATCACTCAACTCAAATACATTTTCTATCTGAGTCCAGTAAGAGAACTCAGAGAAAATCCAGTCTAGTACAGTCATTTTGATGAGAAGAAAGGGGAGCCTCATACGTCAACTTCTTCAGAAAAATAAGAGATAGTCCTAAAATCTTCATCTTCTTGACATTAGACCCAATATTCCTTCCTGACTCACAGAAAGTTCTAGATCCTATAGACCATGTAGCTACCCAGGTTAATACATTTTTGGAAAACAATCATGTAGAAATTTTCAGCTAAATATATTCCCCACGGAGATGAGCATAAAGGAAGGCTTAAAGAATGATATATAAGTCCTGACCGGTTTGGCTCAGTGGTTAGATAATCGGCCTGTGGTTCAGAGAGACCCGGGTTTGGTTCCCGCTAAAGGCACATACCTTGGTTGCAGATTGTTCCCGGCCCCGGTTGGGTTGTGCGGGTGGCAGCCACTCGATGTGTCCCTTTCACATTGATGCTTCTCTTTCTCCCTTCCTCTCTCCCCCTCCCACTCTATCAGAACAAAAAATGAAAAAATGACCCGAGGACAAAAGAAAAAAAAAAAAGAATGGTATACAAAGTTCATGGGGTGTATTCCAAAGTCCATGTTTCATAAACAGCAACAAAAATCTTCTGCAACACTAAGTAACCAAGGCAATTGAAAAATGGAGAATGTATGGAGGGCAAAGGAAATCTATTTTCCTCTGTTGAGAAATCAAAACTTGAGAGCCTTCTCTGTGGTGGGAGGCCTGAATGTGTTTCCCATGCTAGTAAAGTAAATAGTGAAAAATGCATCCTTCCCTATAAAATTACAGATTCCCAAACCTCAAATTAAGTGCAAAAGAATAAACTTCCAAAGAGAACATGCAGAAAATCAACAGCACGTTTTCCCGCCCTTTTAAAATCTCATGATGTATTCATATATCCATACCTGAATATTTTTAAAAATTCTGATGAAGCAAAAAGATGCATAAATGTAACGTTGCCAATAAAAGAAACACTCCACATTTTCACTCTTTGAAAAGACTTTTTGATTTCACTGTTCAACATATTCATAATTCTTTTATTGCTTCGAAAATCCATTTAAATCCATAATTGTCTCATTTGAGCTCAGCATGGTTACCATTTAAAAGCTTTTTTTAAGGTGTCCATACTGCTCTAGTGCATAATAAGCTGCTTGCAATCTTGTGATAACGTGATGAGACCCTCACTTGAGCCTAGAATGATTGCATCTTAGCTCAGTATGAATGCTGTATTGATTCTTTGTATTTCATGCTATGAAAAGAAGAAACAATAAATTAAAATAGCAATGTAAACCCAATATATCATTTCAGATTTCAAACCACAGGTGTTCTATGTGCCTTAAATACAAAGTGCTTACTGAAAACTGATTTTATGTGTATGAAGAATGATGTAATTAGAATATGTCTTTCATTAAAACATTATAGTTATTTACGATGGTATAAAATCAAATTGTTTATTTGTTTTTTCTTAAGTAATTTATTGGTTATCCAGTTAAGTATATTTGAAATGTTAACTACAATTCCAGAGTAGCTTAAATGAACATTTTTATGAAATATCAAAGGAGACATTATTAAAACAAATTCATGTAGTCAACTGAACTGTAAGAGCAAATAAAATAAAGCAAGTATTTGTGTTAACATATATAACTCTAGCTATATATTGGCCTCATTTCATTAATCTTTTTCTAAGTCATATAAATTTTTTTACTAGAATATGATTTTAAAGTCAATTAAATATCTTACATATATTTCACTGTAATGACTTATTTTAAAATCTTATTTTCTGCACAATTACTATTCAGAGGATAGAAAATATGAGCAATGCGAAATAGCATATTTAATCACTACTTGAATGACACCTAATTATATTGTTGGCTTATGTTTCTTGAATAAGTATTTTTTCATATTAGCAATGTCTAAGAAACCTAAAAACACACACACACACACAAGAAACATTATTTCAGGACTGTGTGAAGACGTTCATGCAAAGGAAAATCCAGAGTTCATTATTTAATATCATTCTTTTAGATTTCTTAAATTTTAAGTGAGTGAAACAAACATCCATTTAAGCAAATATCTTTACCTGTGCTTTCTTCATGATATGACTCAGTATATCACAAAGATAAAAATCATCTAAGAAGACGTACTCAAATCAAACGACTGCTTTTTGAAAGCATACATTTGTATGTCTCATGTAAGTTCAGAATATAAAATGGCCCTTTCAAAGTATAAAGTTTATGCAATATACATGCAAAAAAGTTTTCAGATCATCAAAGCAAAAGTATTTGATCTTGTGTTTTAAAATATACAATTCAACATATTCACTCATCCAAGTTTGGCATCAACCACATACTGAATAAAACATCTTTTTTTCTCTTTTTATTGCCTTATATTTATATTTTATAACTTAAAATTTGCTCCTCCTTCTTCTTATTCAGGATTTTATGTATACAACTGAAATATTTTTACTTATGAAACATCTATAAAGTGCTAAAATTAGTTATCAGGG